TTTCTGTCCCCATTCCCTTCTTGTCCTTTGCATTCCATCTACTTTCCTTCATCTTGTTGTTGCCCATTCTTTTTCCTATCTTTTTCTTTCTTCTTTTATCCTCTATCCTTTCCACTTATCCCTCCCACTCCTTTCCTTTTTCTCTATAATATTTCTTTAATATTTTTTATCCTCCCTCTTCTCTTCCTCATCCTACTTCCAACACCTATTCTTTACTTTCTTATTCTATAGGATTTAGGATGATTTCTGAGGACAGAGGTGCTGAGAGATTTTTAGTGTTTTGTTAGATTTTTTGACGCAGATAAAAATAGAGCAAAGTAAAAAATGTCTTCATTGTGGGCACAGAGAAGACCATAGCATAAAGGGAGGACATGGAGCTTCTGAGGGCCTGGCCAGGGGAACAAAGGCTGTACAGAGCCAGGCTGTGGGTAGGGCTTAGGGGATGGTCTGTGGGACTTGGCAAGCAGTGATTGGACACGGGACAGGAAGAGGGAAACAGGATGTTGTAAAAAGGAAGTAGGAAGTTGTAATATGACCAAGGGGGAGGAAGGCGGAGCCTGCCACATGGCCTCCAGTGGGCCACGCCATATTGGCTCCCCACCATGATGACTTAGCAGAATTTTTATTAAGGCGAAAAACCCATCAGTGTTATAGTTGATTTATAATGTTTGTCTGCTTCATGCTGTAAATACTCCCACCATGGTCAGTTTCAAGTAGCTGATGTGAGGTTGCTGCAGGCAAAGTCAGGAGGTGATTGCAGAATACAGTACACCATTGTCTATGCAATACTATAACCATCTCTCCAACAGGGTCCTTTCCAGAGGAAGTGTAATAGGTTGAGAAAGGGAACAGGAGCTGGAGTCAGAAGGTAGCTGGTAGAGAAATGAAAAACAGCAAGTATTTGGCATTACTGGGGAAAATATGGACACATTAGAGTTCCAGATTGCTAATTACTGGATGATCATTTACTAACTTAAGGCTCCAGTCCTATTTGTCCAATATGGTGGCTGCTACCCACATATGGCTACTGAGAGAAATATGGCAAGTCTGAAGTGAAATGTGCTGTAAATATAAAACACAGCAGACTGTAAAAGCATTGTATAAAGAAAATGTAAGATGTCTTCGTTCTTTTTACACAGAGTACTTGCAAAAAGTATTTTAATATGATGGATTCCATAAATATATTAATTTAATCTTTGCCTTTTAAAATGTGATTACTAGAAAACTTTAAGCTACTTTTCTGACTTGCATTATTTTTAGTTAGTTTTTACTGCTGCATATTTTTTTTTGAGACAGGGTCTCCTTATATAGTTTAGGCTGATTTGAAGTCTTTATAGAGCCCAGGCTGACCTTGAACTCAGTGATCCTCCTGCCTCAGCCTCCCAAGTGCTGGGATTACAGGCATGTGCCACCATGCCTAGCCATTGCTGCTACATATTTAAGACCACTTGAATTTGTTTGAATTAAAATTTTTCAATTTCAATTTTCAATCAAGTGTAGTAAATAAATTGATACACTATTTGAATTTCCTAATGTGGGAAATTTGCTACCTTTAATATGTCACTCAGAAGAAATGACGGCTGTCACCATTTTCACTTACTTTTCATGTATAATGAAAAGCAGTGGAGCCTCATTTATGCTTCATACCAAGCCATAGCCAGTGTCCTTGTGGAGGGAGGAGCTAGGCCCTTCTTTCCATCTGAAACCAGCTCTGTCACATGATATTTCTGACTGGAGTGGATGAGGGCTCTGGGCCCTACCAAGAGCAAGATGTGAGAGAGCAGCCGACTCTCAGTGGTGCATAGTTCTTTGCCCAATGGAGAGACTCCATTTTGAATGCTGAGATTTCTCACCTTGGAGGAAATATCGTTAAGATGAGCCTTAACTCTGACTGTAAGCCAGGGGAAAACGCTGTGGGAAGAAACAGAAGGGAAGACAGAGCAGAAGAAAAGCTGGCAGTAGAAAGAGAAGCAGATCAAGGAAGTGTTGAGGTGAAGCCAAGTCTTAGCTAGAGCTGAGAACATAGGGAGGGTGCAAGATGGCTGGGGCACCAGGGATGAAGCTTTTGCTCAGGCTCTGTGAGGCCTAGCTGTGATCCTCTTGTGTTTCCTTACTTCCTATGCACCTTTAAAACAAACCTCCAGCCACTCAAGGTGACCTTGGGTGTTCTGTTCTTTGCAACCAGTATATGAAGGCAGAAATACGGCAGGCAGAAGTCTGGATTGAGAGGAATGCAGAAAAGAGAGAATGTATATGTGCATGCAGAGAGAGGGAGAGAGATATGGGGAGGGGGAGGGGAAGAAGGGAGGGGAAGAAGGGAGGGGAAGAGGGACAAGGCAGATTTTAAAAGGATGAAAACATTACATAGCAAAGTTATCTGCACAAGGGGTCCTGAGCATACTATTCTTTGCTGCTGTTTGTGAACAAACGTTTTAGAGATTTTACAAATCCCCAGTGAAGGTGGGAGTAGTGCATAAATTCTTGGGAACACGGAGGAATGAAAAAGTTAGGGGCTTTGGAACAAAACCCACTCAGTCTTGAGTCTTGGTTCTGTCTCTTACTAGATGATGACTTTGGGCAAGTTTCTTATTCACTCTCAACCAGTTACCCCTTCTGTCAGGTGGGACTCTCCCATATGCTCTGCATTGGGTGGTGAGAATTAGCCAGTATCCAGTATGGAACACTTCCTGCACTCCGGCACTACCACAGACTTGGTGATGATGATTCCCTTACTTGGAGCAACTTGTTTTTGGTTAACGAATCAAAAATTAAAAACTTCTCCATTTGCTGATAGTGGAAAGTGTTGAAACATATTGGTCTCTTGTTCTGGTTTGTGTCTAGTTGTCTCCCAAACCTCATGCGGTGACAGGGTTTTTTCCAAGGTGGCTGAATCTAGAGTGTGTGATTGATTCATAGTGCAATACTGGGATTAAGGCTGAGTGATTGCTGGATCAGTCCACTGATTGGTTTTGGCACCGCCCTAATCCCAGCAGACTGAATACAATACAAGGGACAGAAAGAAGTGCTTGCTCTCTTTTGTTGCTTTTGCTGTCTTCCACCACCATGAACAGTTGCCCCTCTGCCATGAGCCACCCTGCCTTGGAGCCAGCTGATTATCGACTGAAACCTCTACAAACTGCGAGCTAAATAAGCTTTTCTCTCTTTAACCTTAGGTGCTAGGTATTTTGTGCCAGCAATGAGAAAAGTTAACTAAGACATCTCTGGACAGAGGAAGAATGTGTCTTTGAACAACAAAACTCCAAGTGATTTTTTTCTCTTGAGAAGGAAATATACAACATGAATGTGCTGATCATACTTTCTGAAATGAAAAATATTTTAGAGATTAGTTCATTCAACAAGTTGGGACTATCCACTATTCCTGATGGGTGTGTGTGTAACACTGTTTTCTGTGTGTGTGTGTGTGTGTGTGTGTAAGGCAGACATGCTTGCTTGTGTATGGTGGGCAAGAGAGCAAACTGGTGTTACTTGGCCCTTCCTTCTGTGAGCAAATCCATTTGGAAATTTTTATCTTCATTGGACATCTCCAGCCACTTCCCTTAAATCCTATGCATAAGTAAGACATCAAGTGTGTCTGAAAACAATGATCTGTACTCTGCAGCCAACATAAAAAATATCACGTCAATTTTATCTCTTTACCTCAAGACAAGGCCTCTAGGTAACTCCTTCCAACCTCTTCCAATGAGATTTCTGAAATTACAAAGCCTGGTTCCTATTCCTTCTCGTCACCATTTGTCCACCCGCCACGCAGTGGGACCTTGAAGTAAGGGACCATCAGAGAGCTCTAAGATGCTGTGGAAAAGCAGGGTGGGAACTCTTCAAGAGGTTAAACATTGAATTACCATATGGCTCAGTAATGCCACTTCGAGGTATACAAAAAGACATATGGTACATGCTTAAGTTTAAAGAAAACTTATTACAAAAAAAGACACATTGCCAAGAATGATGGAATACATGTGTTCAAAGTGAGGGAGGCATATTTTGAGGGGCATTAATTCCAATATGTCTTTTACTGTAACAAATATTTTTATTTAAACATTTACCACATACTCTGATCTCCCCTCATTGATCAAACACATACTGCACTTTCTGTTAAATAAAAATATTATGGTATGTCCGCATCCACCTAGTCACTAGATCTGTGTGACTTCTGGCTCTTCTCCATAGTCAAAATGACAATGAAAGAGAAATGCTTTGAATCAGTTCAGGACATCGAGGCAGCCATGATAGCACAAGTAAAGACACTCATGAAAGGGGCTTCCAGAATTGCTTTAGCAAGTGGCAAGGATGACTGGACAAGTATGTTCCAGGTGAGAGGGAGTATTTTGAAGGTGATTAATGCCAATGTGTCTTGTACTGTAATAATTTTAAAAATTGTAAACATGCACCATATTTTTGTTGCACCTCATATACTCAAAAGAATTGAAAGCAGCAACTTGAAGAGCTATTTGTTCACCCAGGGTTTAGCAGTGTTATCTATTGATGGGTGAACGCACAAGCAATAGCATATGCATACATTGGAATGTTTAGCCTTAAAAGGAAGGATATTCTGACACATGTTATAACACGGGAGAACCTTGGAAACATGCTAGGTGGAACAAGTCAGCCACAAAATAACAGATCCTGTAAGATTCCACTTACCTACCGCCTCTAGAGTACACAAATTCACAGAGACAGAGAGTAGACTTGTAGTTACCAACGGCTGAACAGAGGGAGAAATGGGCACTTATGATTAGTGGGCTTGGAGTTGCAATTTGAGATGATGAAACACTCTGGAGCTGCATGGTGGTGATGGTTGCACAACCATGTGAGTACAGTTAATTCCGCTCACTTGCACACTTACAAATGGTTAAAATGATAAGTTTCCGTTACGTTTATTTTACCACAATAAAAACTGCACTTACCTGATACCGAATTTGTGTCACATGTAATGCCACTTGCATACAGTAGAGGGGGAAAGGGATTTAGCATCACAGAAACTGTTTGTAATCCACTCCTGCAGCCAATTCTGACGGTGTCAACGAACATCACGCACCTGCAGCTCTCCAAGAGGGTGCCAGCCCCGCGGTAAGAACTGTTAGCTCTGTTTGTTGCAACATTTGTGAAAATGAAATAAGGGTTTCACGGGCCTTTCTAAAGAGGGGATAATTTGAGTTTGTACGGATGGAAGCAAAGCAGACATACTCAGATTTTTGAGTCTGCATTACTTTGCCTAAAGATTAGTGATGAGTGAGTGTGGGGCTACTGATCGGAGCAATCATTCTGCCGGTGCTCGTGGGTTTGGCTTTTCTGTCACTGATTGCAAGTTAACTTCATCAGCTGATTCAGTGTGGATGGTCCCAGGCATTAGGGCAAAAATTTTTTTCCTGGCTTTCATTTGCCAGTGATCCTGTTACCAACATCTGCTGGCTGAGATGTGTGGCTGAAGCATACCTGTGGTCCTTCACCCCGTCCAACAGCTCCGCATCTGTGGTGCATGTGTAAAAGTTGGGGTGGGTGGACAGATCTTGTCCAGTGCGATTTCCTTCAGAAGTTCAAAGTGGCCAAGGAGGACCATGTGGCCACTGTTGAGTTCGGGTCACAGACCCCCTACACGGAGCTGTTAATTAGGGACGTGTGCACCCCGAGTTCTGCTTCACGTGAACTTAGAACTCTCTTAATGTAGTTGTACATCGGCAGCGTCTCTGGGCTTTGCGGCACCTAGCCATTCACCACTCGGAGAGAGGACATGGGGCTGGGGGGAAGGAAGAGGCCCCTGGGCGGCCAGCCAGGTCAAAGGAAAGACCTCAGCCATCATACCCTGAGCCACGTCATTTCAGGGTCTCATCTGCCTTCAGTTTGAGTTTAACTACCACTCAGCAGGCACCAGAGAGCTCTGAGTTTAAACTCCTTCTCCACTGCTTAAGGGCAAGTTACTAAACCTGTGGGTGTCAGCTCCTACACTGGTAAAACAGGGGTAATAGTCTCCGCCGTTTTGTTGGGTTGCTGAGAGGACTGAATAAGAGAGAGTACAGGAAACACTTAGCTCTGTGTTGGACACATAAGAGATGCTCAAAAAATATCATTCTTTTGTTCTTATTGTTATGTAACAACGGTTCTTCCGCATTCAATGAAATTTAAAACCTTTCTCTATATCATGGTATTATTGGGAAAAGAGAAATTCCCAGGTAATGAAGTATGCATTCTTCAGCAAACCACCAATTGCTATTTCACGTGTCTTTGTACTTGCACTTTTAAACTGCAATCTATTAAGGGAAGTCATTCTCTGCTTTTCATCTACCTTCAGCATAGTAGTAATAATATAACAGTAGTATCCTGTGTGCATCTTTCATCAAAAGTTTATATTCCATTTTTCTAAAATGCCATCCTACCTATGCATTGCCTGAGAGAGAAGACCTTATTTTTACTTATATTAAGAGAAGTTCAAAAAGAGTTAGTTCCTCTCTTGTTACACTTCCAGATTCAGCTGTGGTATTGGGCAGGGAGGAAGTGTGTAAGAGATGGAAACTCCGAAGCCAGGGTAGATTCTGCTACCTTCTTCAAGGGAGGTGGCTCCCACGCCTAGAATATCAAAGTAAAGAACGTGCTTTGTGAGATGATAACACTAAAATCACCTTTCTCAACTTAATGATTAAATTGAGTGGGGGACAAGGAGACCTTCCAAGCCACACTGGAGCCTGAGGCTAAAGAAAAATTCTTCAGTGCTGATCTTACCTATGATTTTTCTTTTTTGGCAGTACTGGTATTGAACCCAGAGTCTTTGTACAGAGCCACATTCCCAGCCTTTTAAAATTTATTTTATTTTGAAACAGTGATTCATTAAGTCACTTGTTGCCCAAGCTGGGCTCAAGTTTGCAATCCTCCTGCTTCAGCATCCCAAAGTGCAAAAATTTTTTTATATTTTTTCAATGTGGACTTTCACATAACATTTGAATTTTTAAATATTTCATTAAAGCCATTTCTTGATTACTGAATTCCTTGTTACTCCCTTAAAATTTGTCCCTGACTTGCCTTATTTTTGTCTTGGGCCTGATAACTGCTTATGTGTGATAAGGTAGGCATGACACTAAATAATTGTATGCATCATCTATTTTGTAAGCCTCATTTAACAGATGATACTAAAGCTTTCAGAGGTTAAATAAATGGTCCAAGTTACATAGCCAGTCACTGGTAAATGTTGGACTTGAACACAGACCTCTGGGTTCCTAGCACCAAACCTACTCTTTAACCATCATGCACCTCACCCCTCCAAGAATCCACAACGTGAATTTACGCATTTGACACATAGTTTTGAAATCATATTATGTGCCATCTTGTGCTAGAGGGTGAAATGATATCGTCCGTTCATTCGTATACATGTTGAACGTGTATTCACCAAGACTGTGCAAAGAGTGTATATATGCAGCATTTAATATGTATCTTGGCACTTTGAAAGCTTCCAAGAAAGGGGAACTGTTCTTAATCACTATGTATTGTTATTATTTGTCAGTGACCTAGGTTTCTTTGGCCACCAGCCTGAAGACAAGCAGAGGCACAAGGACCCGAGTCATTCTGCTCCTGTGATTTGCACCTCCCATGTATACGGGTAAGTGTTGGTGAAGGTCAGACGCAGGGACTCTCTAGACTCATAAACAGAAAGGTGAGGAGCAACTCCATGATAGTAATTCAAGAGCCCACAATATTTGTTGATAAAATGTTACTTTCAATCCTCTTAAAATCTTAGGACTATCTAAGGCTATTAAGGAAATATGGAGGAGGGTATGGGTTTTGACCTAACAAAGTAGTTCCTAAGCAAGGTTGGGAGGTGTGTGTATACGTGGGGGATTCTACCACCTACTCTGCCCTCTGAGAACTCTGATTTGTCTCCGTGATGGGAACATGGTATGTGCAGTAACTGACTTGGAGCTCTCTCGGCCATGGCTCTGGGATCAAGTCCAAGATTCAATATACAGGTTGAGACTTCATTGCAACCTCTTCATGAATATAGGCAGATATTGGCATTAAAAAAACCTATACAATGAACCAATTTTAAAAACCATTATGGTATGCTGTCTTTCTAGGGATGTGGACACACCTTCATGATTCAAATGAGGAAACAAGTAATAAGACACTTGGAAATACAATGAGACTTATCAGGAACATTTATATATTTTGTAATATTGTTGTGTCGGTAGAAGGCTGGGCTCCAAAACTTCCAGAAGGAAAGGAATTGGCTACCAACTACTCCAACATGGCTCTAAGAAAGGTTCCCACAGACCTGGCTCCAGCCACGACCACACTGGATTTATCCTACAACCTCTTATTTCAACTCCAGAGTTCAGATTTTCATTCTGTCTCCAAACTGAGAGCTTTAATTGTATCCCATAACAGAATCCAAGAGCTGGATATCAAGATCTTTGAATTTAGCAAGGAGTTAAGATATTTAGATCTGTCTTACAATAGACTGAAGATAGTAACTTGGCACCCACTGGCAGCTCTCAGACATTTAGATCTTTCCTTTAATGACTTTGAAACTGTGCCCATTTGCGAGGAGGTTGGTAACATGACACAGCTGGAAACCCTAGGTTTGAGTGGAGCAAAAATACAAAAATCAGATTTCCAGAAAATTGCTCATTTGCATCTCAACACTGTCTTCTTTGGGCTGAGAAGTCTTTCTCACTACGAGGAAGGCAGCCTGCCCCTCTTAAACACAACAAAACTTCACATAATTTTACCAATGGAAGTACATTTCTGGGTTCTTTTGTGTGATGGACTCAAGACTTCAAGAATATTGCAAATGACAAATATAGACGGCAAAAGTCAGTTTTTAAATGACGGCCCTCCACGACATCTTACTTCAGAGAATTCCAAGACATCTACTCTGTTATTTAGCAAAGTTGATTTACTGTGGGATGACCTTCTCCTCATCTTCCAGTTTGTTTGGCACACGTCAGTGGAATACTTCCAGATCCAGGATATGATGTTTGGAGGGCAGGTGTATCTTGACCACAATTCATTTGACTACTCAGATTCTGTCATGAAAGCTGTAAGACTGGAGCACATCCATTTCAGAGTTTTTTCCGTTCCACAAGATAGAATCTACTTGCTTTTCACAAAAATGGATATAGAAAACTTGACAATATCAGATGCAAAAATGCCGCATATGCTTTTCCCTCATGCTCCTAAACGTTTCCGGTCTTTAAATTTTGCCAATAATATCTTAACAGATGAACTATTTAAAGATCCAATCCAGTTGCCTGATTTGAACACTCTGATTCTGCAGGGCAATAAGTTGGAGACCCTTTCCTTAGTGAGCTGCTTTGCTAACCGCACAGCCTTGATGTACTTGGATCTAAGCCAAAATCTACTGCAGCACGGAAAGGATGAAAATTGCTTGTGGCCAGAAACTTTGATCAGCATGAACTTATCATCTAATAAATTTGCCGATTCTGTTTTCAGGTGCTTGCCCAGAAATATTCAAATTCTTGACCTGAACTATAACAAAATTCAAAGGGTCCCCAAGGAGATTGCTCATCTGAAGTCTTTACAAGAGCTAAATATTGCGTTTAATTTTCTAACTGATCTCCCCGGGTGCAGTCATTTCCGAGGCCTCTCAGTTCTGAACGTTGAAATGAACTTAATTCTCAGCTCATCTCGGGAGTTTTTTCAGAGCTGCCAGGAGGTTAAGACTCTAAACGCAGGGAAAAACCCATTCCAGTGTACTTGCGAATTAAGAAACTTCATTCGGCTTGAAAAACATTCAGTGGGCATGATGGTTGGATGGCCAGATTCATACATCTGTGAATACCCTTTGAATCTAAAGGGGACTCTGTTAGAAGATGTTTATCTTTCTGAGCTGTCTTGCAACACAGCTTTGCTGATTGTCACCGCTGTCGTCCTCTTGCTGGTTGTGGTGATGCCTGTGGCTGTCTGTTTCCTCCACTTTGATGTGCCCTGGTATCTCAGGATGCTGGGCCAGTGGATGCAGACATGGCACAGGGCTAGGAAGGCAGCACAAGAGCAACTGAGGAGAAACGTTCAATTCCATGCATTTATTTCATACAGTGCACGTGATTCTCTCTGGGTGAGGAACGAATTGGTCCCCAATCTAGAGAAAGAAGATGGTTCTGTTTTGCTTTGTCTTTGTGAGAGAAACTTCGACCCCAGCAAGAGCATTACTGAAAACATCCTTAGCTGCACTGAGAAGAGCTACAAGTCCATCTTCGTTTTGTCTCCCAGCTTTGTCCAGAGCGAGTGGTGCCACTATGAACCGTACTGCCCTGACAATTCCGATCACACCATTCTCCTCGTGCTGGAGCCCATCCCGCTGTACTGTATTCCTACCCACTTTCATACGCTGAAAGCTCTCATAGAAAAGAAAGCATACTGGGAATGGCCCAAGGATAGGCGTAAATGTGGGCTTTTTTGGGCAAATCTTCGCACTGCTATCAGTGCTAACTTAATAGACGCCAGAGAAATGTGTGAACTACAGACATTCACAGAACGGAATGCAGAGTCCTGGGGTTCTGCTGTCTCTCTAATGCGGACAGACTGTGTGTAAAGTGCCTGCCAACTCCCAGGGCAACCAGGGACCACATACATTGTTGGGACATAAGTGGATACAGCCTTTATGATGGCAATTTGGCAATATCTATTGAATGGAAAAATGAAAAAAATCATGTCAATCGCTAGAAAGATTTCTAACAATGTATTCTCAGAAACATCTGCACACGTTTGCCAAGGTTTATGTAAAAAAGAGTCTATAATCATAAAAAATTGAAAAGCCTCCCAAATGTCCTCCAAATAAAGATTGACTCAAGAAAGTCTAAAACATCTATAATGGAATATTATACAGCCATTAAAATGATTAGGTAGTTCTGTATTTACTGGTGCAGAGAAACTTACATTAATATATTAGTTTATACATTGAAATAAAAGCATACAAGATTCTACATCAGTACACTGTATAGTAATAGTGATTTGGGTCTAGAAGGTTGGATTACAGGAAGCATTTGCTTTCTATGTTGTATTTTCTATAATGGTTGAATTGCTTACAGTGACTCTGTATTTCTTTTTCAAATAAAAAAAATTAAGATAATTTGAAAAGCCTACACATCCTACTCATTTTGCTTGATTCTTCTTTTCTAGTTTCATAGGTCACAGAAAGAAAACTTGCAAAGTTGTATTTCAAAAACAGACATGATCTTCATTCCCTAGTTGGAAAAAAGTTGTAGTTTCCACACATGAAAAAGAAAGAAATGCCGTGCGTATCTGAAATTTTTCACCCATCTCCTTTTACCTCCTTCACCTCATCAGCAAGCCCTGTGAGTCCCTGGCTCTTTCCCAGAGTGCTCAGTCTTCTTTTGCGTCCCTGAACACTGGGCTTGGTGTGGTGCCTGCCCACAGGCCTCCCCGCCTCTGGCGGCATTGAAGGAAATGTCATCATTGGTGGCCTGCCAGGGATGCCTCACATGGCGCCCCTTCACCGAGCTGTTTCCCATCTGTTCTGCTGTTTCGCATGCTGTACTGCTGGGCCTGGCCCTCCCAGCCTGCTCCAGGCCACTTGAAGCGGCTCTGACGGTGTGCCCTGACTCCCCACAGGGGGCGAGCACGGTAAGCACTCCTGAGTGTGGATTTGGAGGCGGTCTATGACAGGAAGTCAGTTTTGACAGCCAGCTGTTAAGATACTGCTCCCTTTCAAGCCCAGGTAACCATGGAGCCACAGAGCTGTGGGAAGACGCAGCTCCAGGTGTTGCAGGGGCCACATCCAAGGGCAAAAGTGCAGCTAACTGTGGGGTCGTTCAGATTCAGGGTTAGGGACCTCGGGTGAGGGTTTGGGCCAGGACAATTCCATATACAGTCTCATATCTGCCTCCTCACAGTGAGAACTATGAGGTGTAATAAAAAATATGGTGAATGTTTAATAATTTTAATTTAAAAGATATTATTAGAGTGAGAAACACATTGCCATGAATCACCTCAAATTCTCTCCCTCCCTTCAGACGCACTTGCCTCATCATTCTTGCCCCTTTCTGAAGCAGTTCTGGCAGTCCTCTTTCCTGGATGTCTTCAGTTGTGCTGTCCCGGCTGCCTTGATGTCCCGAATCCATTCAAAACCTTTACCTTTCCCATCATGTTACTTTTAGAAAGAGCCAGAATAAGGTCGATGAGGACTCACTGTGATGCTGTTATGAGCTGCCTTTCCTTTGGATGGCACTTGGCTGCAGCACTCGTATATATTTTTGAATCATGCTATGTAAAGACACTACAAAAAGGACGTTCAGATCTGTTTCAGGAAGTAGCAAGAGGGCCGGGGATGTAGCTCAGCGGCACAGGACCTGCCTGGCAAGCACAAAAATAGCAAGAGTGATCAAGTAAATATGTTCAAAGTGAGGGGGAATATTTTGAGGGGATATAATAATTAGTAGCAATGTGCCTTTTACTGTAATAAAGTTTCGGTTTTTTATTTAAACATTCACTGTAGTTCTGATCTCACCTCACGCTTGCCTGCAGACCAAGTCTGGAGGTGGCATCCAAGTTGCTTTGAAGTGACCACTCTACCAAGACACGCACATTCTAATCCTCAGCTTGAAATATTTGTAGGAAAACCCAAATAAAGTAGATTCTAAATCCATTCACATTTTCCTCAATCACTGCAACATTCCCTTTGCCCTTTAAATCACTGCTCCAGTCACATTCCCAGTAAAGACTTGCTGGACAAGCTAGCTGAAAGTGACAGTGCACCTTATTCACTTTCCTTGCTGTCTTAGTTCCTTGTCTCATTGCTGAGACAAAATACCTGACTCCAAAAGTTAAAGGCAGAAAGGCTTACTTAGCTTACAGTTTGCAGAAGTTTCAGTTGGTAGTTGGCGGGGTCCACAGCAGGGTAGCATGGCAGAGGAACATCGCAGAGGAGAAACAGTTCATGGTGGGCAGAGGGTGGCAAAGCAGAAGGCAGCAAGCGGTGAGTGACAAGCAGCAAGCGACAACAGCAGCCCTCCTCTGCCCCTGATATTCTATTCAGTCTACCTATCCTTAGGAAGGGTAGCACTCACATCTAAGGGGGGGCACCCTTAATCCTAACATCACACCATGAATCAATCCCCACATCACAGCCTTAATCCCAGCATCACACACTGTAGATCCAGCCACTGCCGAAAAGCCCCACCTATACCACATGAGGCTTTGGGGGGACGTTTAGACACAAGCCGTGACACTTGCATTTCATTTTTCCATAGCATTTGCTGCTTTCAGAATTATAGTACCATTTTTCTGTTCATCTTGGCTGTTCTCTGTCCTCCCCCACTAAAATGCAAGCTCTTCGGGAACTGAGATTTTTTGTTTGTTTGCTCACAAGTGTTGTTTCCTTCTCTGACTGGAGCAGTGCTTGGCACACAGCCACTCCTTCCTCATTTTCTCTGAAGAAAACGTTTTGTGGACCCCTGTGGGCTCCCAGCTCCTCTGAAGTCCAGCAGGGCCTCTGCTGCTGAGGCTGTGCTTCAGTGGGAGCCTCTCTGGTAAGTCGGGGACACAGTTTCACTCAGCAGTGGACGTTCTTCCTCTGCAATAAGTGTACTTTTGCTGACACTTTCTGGGACCTGCCAGCAATGGCCTGTTGTCACCCCTGCGGCCCTCACCCACACATTTTCCATTACTCCTCACTTCCTCCTTGGGAGCTGCCTGACCGCAGGGACTTGCCCTTGAGCTACTTCAGAGTCTGCAGATTGTACAAATCACCGCAAATGGGATGTATGGATCCCCCATCCCAGCCACTGCCTCTTCCCTGTTGCTCAGTCAGCCTCTCTAGGTAAGCTGGACACCATTGGACCAGAGAAGCCTCCGCCACGGGGCCACATCTCAGCACCTGGGGGCCTTCTTTGAATTTTCTAAGCCCTCCTCAGGGCCTGGCGCTGCCGCAACCAGCCGTATTCTCCAAGAAGGAGAATTGTGGCTCTGACCCAGACCTGCATGGGTCTCCGTCCTCCCTTTTCCCCACTGAGGTGACTTCTGACCTTCTGCTTTGAACATGAGGTCAGTCAGATATCCCAGAGTTGTGAAACGTACAACTCAAAGACTGCTGGTCAGGTCCCCATGTAAGGTGAGCAACCTCATAAGTAGATCATTCCTGCTGGCTGACAGTGTGGAAGCCCTGAGATGGAGCACTGGAATGGTGCTGCCGTATTGATTTGGTTCTTCCATACTTATAGACACCTTGGAAATTCTTATCCCTCATGGACGCTTCTTTGGCACGGAGGTATCTTGTTGTGTAACAGAAATTCTCATCATTTAGTGCTTTACCCAAATGCTACCACTTCTCACTGACCTGTGGGACAGAGAAGGCACGTCAATGCCGGTGACACCCATTCCTGTTCTTATTCCGTTCTTGTTCTTGTCCTGCTGAAGTGGAGACTCTGCCTCCCGCAAAGATCCCCACGAGAATTCCCACCAAGTCCCAAGGGCCCTTGCACATGCTCGACACTTGCCATTTGGCGCTGCCTCAGCCACGATCTTCTCCACTCTTTCCCTCAGGTGGCTGGACAAGGTCTTTCAAACTCCTTGTGAGCATCTCTCACCCCTGACATTGCTGAATGAAGGTGACTTCCAGTCCATGCAAACATCCACATTAAGGGTGCTTTCTTCCAGTAATCCTGAATCCATTATTTTTTGAGGTGAGAAGCCGTGAGTTCCATAGTCCAATAGGTTCCATACTTCACAAAACTGTGTCAGTGCCTCGGCATCCCGGGGCTGCAATTCTGGGGCCCAGACACTCACTGTGTCTCATGAAACCCATTTGTCTGGTGCTCACTCTCAACCTCGGTGGGGCTCTAAACCAGTCCAGAGGGGCAAGGAGTGGGACGGTACTGCGTCCCTCCTACCGTGCCTATTCCTGTCCATTCACCTTCAAACGCCAAGTGAAGCTCCCTCTTCCTCTCTGCGCATAACAGCTCATGTGTGCAAGTGGAGGGAGAAGAGTGTGACCCAAACTTAGCTTCCGTCTTGGGTGCAGCTAGGGCAACTTGCTACATAGTTTATGCCAACTGGATGGAGAAGTTTGGCCCATAAAGCTTCCCAGGGGAGGCTGCAGGGGGAAATTAACTGGAGAGGAAGCTGACTGCACTCTCAGAGCCTTGGAAGATGTTCAGAGCCAACATCTTCCTCAACTGTTAGAAGTAGGAAGCTGGATAAATGCTGAACTGATGTAATAAATAAAAAGTCCATACTAATAGATATAATGCTGCTTTCACATCTGTCAGCATTCAGGTTTAACCCAAGAATAAAAATTATAAAATGATACACAAAGATCATTAAAAATGAAAAGCCCCTCCCAAATAAGAAGCCAAATGAAATTTTTAAAAAAAATTGAAAAAGTACCAAGAGAAAAAGAAAGCCAATAGAAGCCAGCAAAAACTAGGACAAGAGATCCCCTTTCACCCAGCTATTCCCCTTCTTGGGATCTTCCCAGAAGAACTAAAAGCATCATACCACAGCTATATAGGCACACCCATGTTTATAGCAGCACAGTTTGTAATACCTAAGTCTTGGAAACAACCCAAATGCCCATCAACTGATGAATGGATAAAGAAGTTTTTTCATGCAACGATAAAAGAAGGATAAACTTGAGACATTTATAGCCAAATGGATGCACCTTGAGACCATAATCTTAAGTGAAATAAATCAGACACACATATGTAAATATCTCACAGTCTCTCTGGTGTGAGACACTGAAAATGTAAATAAGAATCAAAATGTAAAACAGATATTGTGAAATAGAAATTGTTCAAAAGAAAAAGGGAACTCGGGAGGGGGAGGGAGAAATGAAGGAAGGGAAAAGAAATAAAATGAGAAAAGAAGGATAAAATGGAAACAAAGCTTTATAAATAAAGAGGGGAAGAAAAGGTGAAGGGGAGGGAGGGGAATGGGAAAAAAAGAGGTACTAAGATATAGCACGTACAGGTGCAGATTCCCTGTGATGAATGTGATTCATCTGTGTATGCAAATCGTACCAATAAACTTGATTTTACAAAAAAGGGGAAGCAAAGTAACCTGTTCTTTGGCAGGGTGCTTTTGCCCTAGAGCACAGGTCGCAGAGGACAGGCT